TGTAGACAACTCTAATTTGCTTACTAGACTGCGCTGTACTTGTAGCCTGCAGCGCCGTCTTGAGGCGATTCCATGGAGTCGCCCAGCGTGTCACGGCTTGAAACTGGACCAAGAGACTCAATCATCGCAAGCACCCGTGTTGAAGTCACCATTACAGCAAACGCTATCCGCTTGGCGTTCCCACATCTGATTCACAACAAGAAGCGGTCACGATTTGCATCAATGTTGCAGGGTCAACAGCTTGTGACGCAGGGCGTGGTGCATTTCGAGTGGGACAGCGACTCAAGTCGTGTTACACTTCTACAATCCAAAGCCGATCTTTTGACCCCGATGCTGAAGATACTCGGAGACTTGGAGACGGTGGCAAGCGTTTTTCAAGAAGCTCTCATTACACCTGAGTGCACGCTTTCGAGCAAAGACTAGAAGTCACCATGAGCGGTAAGAGGTAAAGACTATAATAGTCAAGAAAAAAGAGCAAACAAATAAAATTCATGAGTAAATCCCAATGATTTTTTTTCTCCAGTCAGTTCCCTTCCATGTAACTTCCTCTCAACACAGTGTTAGACAATGGTGCATTGGAGTACGCTGAAGGCACTCCAACTTGATTGAACACCACTTCGGTGCCAATCTAGTTTTTAAAAACGAACTGGAGTTCATCCTTTGTGTGTGTGTGTGCAACTACATCAGGATGAAGTATCACAAACAAGTAGCACAGTATAGAGTTGCTAAAGCTCGTGCTGCGCTGACTGGAAGTGCATCATTTCGAGCTTCTGCGTCGGATACAGAGCCACCATAGTGTGCGAATTCTTGGCGCTATTTACCCCACTTCAATTTCAGATCTTTTTCCATAGCTGCGTCAACTTGTTGATGAATTTGCGTGCAGTATTCAACGGTGCATAGGAAACAACGCTACCGTGCCCTATGCGATGCACATCGTCCATGCCCAACGTACTTCAAAGCCTTTGCGTAAAGCTGCTTCGTTCCGCTGAATAACCCTCGGTTGGAGTCTCATTTTACTTCACCAGACTATTTTTACGGCGTTTCCTCGCGGACTGGGCGTGCATGTCGGTAGCACCAAGGATTGTTGCAGATAACCACATTGATTTCAACCTTGCCGAATTCAAACGATATCGTGCATTGATCAATCTATCGTGTCCCACTTAGCGTTTGAACATGGCAACAGTGGATGTCAAGATTGCACCCGACTGGCTCCGAACAGTGAGTTGTTGAGCTTTGTACGAGGTCACGTAGTGACACTAACTCGTTGTGATAGCCGGATGTTACTACACGCACTGAGCTCTTGGAGGCACGGAAGCAGGACCGTCGAGCATTGTCGTTCGCTATGGAGCCACCATTGTCGAATGACAAGAAGTTTGCACGTTCGGAAAGACTCTATCGGGACTCCCACCGCCCCAGTGGAGCGTTAGTTTGTAGCCCAAGACAGCAAGAACTGGATCTTCCTCCTCAGCATTATCACCCTCGAGCGACGTGCAGTGGCTCACCCACCAAGGCAGCATTAGTCGCTCGAAGACAACATGATAAACGTCTGGAGAGTCTCAAGTTTGAGCCGTCCGAGATTGAACGTCTTCGCGACATTCCCAAGGTCGATCGTCTTGAAAACTGGTGGAAACGACCAGCAGGATATGTAGAAGACCCAGCGTCCTTCAAAGACTCGCTACGTCTCCAGCTCACACACCACAGCACCGAGCTCGGCCCGGTTGATCCCGCAAAAATACGCTCTCCAGCTTCCGTGGATGAGCGACGGCTTCTGCGAGAAAAGAGAGGCCAGCTCGCAGACAAAGTGAACCACATCGCACACCAGATGCCGGAGGACTTCGCTCGTATCGACAGTGAGACGGTAGCCGTGCATCCACAAGAACTGGTATGTAGCATAACTATGCTGTAGATGGTGTTTATCACTCCTAACGTATGCGTTTGTCATGATTTAGAGAGTGAACGGAGCTTCCAGTTTTGAGCCAGCGTGGACACTGCCCATGTCGCCGATCAAAGTCCCTCCGAAGGTTTGTCTGTCGGATTATTTATTACGATATTGCTTCAGTTACTAAATATTGTTGTTGAATATGTAGAAGAAGAAGGCGCCGCGGAGAGCTGTAGAGAACCTGGTTTTAGAGAGCACGTCTCAGCGTGTGTTGCTCGACCAATTCAAGAGCTG